GAGACAAATACTTCTTTCTTCCTAGTGGCCTTACCCAGTATTTTGACGCACTGTAGCTACTCTGGGCATAATTCCCAACCTCAAAAGAAACTAAGTTCAAATCTTACCTCCTGGGCACTTAAATCTTGCCCAGAAGTGATAGTGGGAGAGGAGGTCATGCCATGTTGGCGCCACAACCCCCCCCCCCAACCTCTTCCCTACCTAAACAACAACAACCAAAAGAACATCGGCAAGCCCAATTCTTTAACTACTACAATAATTTTGCTTTTCCCATTATTATACTTTATTTTACTTTAAAAAAAAAAGAAATACAAACTTTATAATCTACTTATTTAATTGTGTGTGTTAGTAGAACCTATTTGTGTTGAAATACAAGCTTGACTTAACTAACCTCTCTTACACGAGAGTGTACCGTTCTCATGAGAGAAGTAAGGCAGTTGTGACCCAAGCAGTTTAATATAATTAAGTATTCCAAAGTGAGTAACTGCTACTTAGTTATATAAATACATGTTGGGTCCTGTAGCCCCATAACAGCCCCACCTCCAGACGAAGTCTCACTAAGTTTAGCTGTGTCCCTCAGGATAAAGCTAGTCGAAAATAATATTGATTTAGCCTGAAGGTGGTTAGCAAGACTAATAGAAGTTTTAACATATTACCTAGCACCATAAATACTACATTGCAATCTACAAATATGCGTGGCTGTACTGAACCTTCCCAGACTATACATGCAATTCCTTCCCATACTATATAAGAACCCTGAAAGTTATAATACTGGAACAGATTTGCAGAATTTTTTAAAAACATTTCAGCCAAACCCACATACTTATTCTCAAAAGTGTAATTATTAACAATTTTAGTGGGTTTCTATATATAACACATTTTCCAATGCATCCATTGCAGACACTGCAAGGCTCCAGGCGGACATCAACCGAATCTTTCAGTGGGCTGCAGAAAACAATATGAAGTTCAACGATGAGAAATTTCAATTATTCAGATATGGTAAACACGAGGAAATTAAATCTTCATCAGAGTACAAAACAAATTCTGGCCACAAAATAGAGCGAAACACCAAAATCAAAGACCTGGGAGTGATCATGTCGGAGGATCTCACCTTCAAGGACCATAACATTGTATCAATCGCATCTGCTAGAAAAATGACAGGATGGATAATGAGAACCTTCAAAACTAGGGAGGCCAAGCCCATGATGACACTCTTTAGGTCACTTGTTCTATATAGGCTGGAATATTGCTGCACACTAACAGCACCTTTCAAGGCAGGTGAAATTGCTGACCTAGAAAATGTACAGAGAACCTTCACGGCGCGCATAACGGAGATAAAACACCTCAATTACTGGGAGCGCTTGAAGTTCCTGAACCTGTATTCCCTGGAATGCAGGCGGGAGAGATACATGATTATATACACCTGGAAAATCCTAGAGGGACTAGTACCGAACTTGCACACGAAAATCACTCACTACGAAAGCAAAAGACTTGGCAGACGATGCAACATCCCCCCAATGAAAAGCAGGGGTGTCACTAGCACGTTAAGAGACCATACAATAAGTGTCAGGGGCCCGAGACTGTTCAACTGCCTCCCAGCATACATAAGTGGGATTACCAACAGACCCCTGGCAGTCTTCAAGCTGGCACTGGACAAGCACCTAAAGTCGGTTCCTGACCAGCCGGGCTGTGGCTCGTACGTTGGTTTGCGTGCAGCCAGCAGCAACAGCCTGGTTGATCAGGCTCTAATCCACCAGGAGGCCTGGTCACAGACCGGGCCGCGGGGGCGTTGACCCCCGGAACTCTCTCCAGGTAAACTCCAGGTAAACAATGCCCAATTTGTTAGCCAGCACCGACAGTCTTGTCTCCACTGCAGTGATCCAGCAACCAGCTGGTACTCCAGGATGGCAACTTCTTGATCAGGAGAAGAGATCAGAGCCAAACCCTAGGTAGTCAGGTATACACAAGGCAGGAAATTCCACACAATCTGCTAAGGCGTCACTCACATGGTGGCCGTACCAGTGACACTTATCAGTCAACACTCATGATCCTCAACATGGTCAAGCACTTAAGCCCATCTTCCGAGGTCCCACTCCACACAGATGAAGGGAGAGGAGCTGACACAGAACAGAGTTCAAGGGACCACAAAGGCGTTGGGGCGTTTCGTACACAGAGCACACAAAGACTCAAATATACCACATACCTTCCTGAACCTCCCATGTCATCGAAGGTTGTCAACCTCTGCCTCAACTCACAAATACGTATACTCTGACTCTCCTCACGCTCATGGCTCCGACTCATCTCATTCACAGTCGGATGGGTCGTAGGGAGCATTCAGAGTAGCCGAGAGTTAACCACTGCGAAACCAACAAGATCAGCACAAGAAAAATACAATGTGCAAAGCATGCACCATGCATCTACATAAAACTTCTAGAGAGACCATCAGCAACTACATTCTCTGAGCCTTTTATATATTTGACTTCCAAATTAAAGGGCTGTAGGAACAAAGCCCATCTTAGAATCTTTGATTGTGGTTTCTCATTCTCTGCGAAAACCTCAGAGGACTGTCCTCACTCTATACCACTACACTACAGGATGTGGGGAAGCACTGATATAAACCGCAAATTTTTGTATGGCCAATACCTGGGCCAAAGCTTCGTTCTTCATGGTCGCATAACCACGTTTGGTTTTTTTTAATTTGACTGAGTGGTGACAAACTGGTTGGAAGTTATTTCTCTCACCACCCTTCAGCAACACTACAACCTACTCCTACATCACTAGCATCCATCTGCAGGGAGAAAGGACATTCAGGACTTTTTAAAATAGAAACGTTCCCTGATAACAATTTCACATTTTTCAAAAGCCCTGTCACACTTGCTGTCCCAGTTGAAATGAACTTTGGGACTGGTCAGAATTGTCAGTGGTGATGTTACCTGGGAGAGGTTGAGGCAGAAGCGTCTGTAATAACTCACCATGCCTAGGAACCTCATTACTGCTCTACAATTTATGGTCTTGGGAAATTTACAATAACTTCGACCGTAGCATTGGGGCAACTTTCCCCTGACCAACTACATATCCTAAGAATTGTACACTGGATTGGCCAAACACGCTTTTCCTCAGATTGGTGGTTAAGTGGGCATGAGCTAGACGTTCAAACAACTTACGTAATGTTACGAGTGAGTATCCCACTGGTTACAAAACACTACAATATCATCTAAGTAGGCCTGTACACCATCCAACCCCTTTATTTACACAACACTGAAAGGTGGCAGGATCATTTTTTAACCCAAAGGGAAGTACATTACATTGACATAACCTGTCTGGAGAGACGAAGGCTGAAATTTCCTTTGCCCACTGTGTGAGAGGTATCTGATAATAACCTGTAGATAAATCCAGTTTGCTCAGAAACTTTGCCCTTCCCACAGCATCAATCGCATCATCAGTAATGGTCAGCCTTCGATAATTCATTTACTCTGAGATAGCACACATATGCATGGATCCATCAGGTTTGGGGACCATCAGGCGTGTAGATGCCCACTGACTCTCACTAGGCACTGCAAACTTGTACTGAATGAGGAATTTCACTTCTTCCTCTATGTGAAGTTGTTTTGTTGGGTTCATGCAGTAAGGAGTTTGCTTCATTGGAACAGCTTCCCGATATCCACATCATAGGGGAAGGGGGTCAATTTACTTACTTTGGGTACATCCTCAAAAAAGCTGGAATTTTTTGGAGTAGCTGAACCAAGTCACTGACTCCCTATACACCGAATCCCTTCATGTGTGCCAAGGGATTTAGTGAGATAGATGAATTGCAGAGCCTTACCTCTGCTGTCACAGGAAGTTTTTCAGTATCATCACACTCAATTTGAATGGCGGCAACTCTCGCCATAGAATGGGCCCAGACCTGCCTGTGTTGACGAAGGGCCCATCAAATCGTGCAGCCAAGGCATGTCCTGGAACTCACTCTTCTCCAACAATGAAGGAGCGAGGAACAGCCCCTTGGTCATACTGCTGCTTCTTGGCCCTCTGACTAGCCTTGACGTTGTCTGCTGCCATCCATATACCTAACCTGGCTATCCCCAGCAACAACAATATTTTTACTTTCCTTGGTGTCGTTCGTTGTGACGTTCCCAGTAGTCGACTCACATTCGTCGGGTAGCACGGAGAATGCATTAGATGTTTCCACAACAGTTTCCACAGCAGTCTCTTTCTTCTTCATAGTTTCTACCTTTCCATTCGTCTTCTTGATCTTCAACTTCATTCCATGCTGTCCAGCCACTGTTCAGGTTCCCTTCTTGACCTGAGGATTCGCAACAGGAGAACTACTACAAATCCTCTTGTTTTCCTTAGTCAATCGCCGTATCTCTAACTTCGCTACCCTCAATTCCTCCTTAAGCTGCTGGTAAAGTTGCTCAATGGAGGGCATCCTGGTTCAATCAACAGTTGAGATACACAGAGAGCACACAAGACACGTCTTCCAGTCTTATTCTCATGCTGTTTCAGTTTACACTGATGGTCCTAAATTCTCTAATGGTTTTGGGTTTACAGCAGTGGTGGTTTACAGCAGTACAGTGGTGACGTGTACTTAGCCAGTGGTGACGTGTACTTAGCTCTGTGAAATTCTGTCCAGTGTGTTCTCCGTGAATCTGCACAAGATGTCCTCTTTTGAGCAACTGTACCAGCAGCTGAAAGAGGAGCTTAGGGTTGCTAAGCTTGAGATACGGCGACTGACGGAGGAAAGCAAGAGGATTCGAAGTAATCCTCCTGTTGTGAGTCCTCAGGTCAAGAGAGGAACCTGCTCAGTGGCCAGCCAACATGGAACAAAGATGAAAATCAAGAAGTCTGTTGTAGTGGCGGAAACAACGAAGATCCAGAAGATTGTGTCAGTGGAACGCCTTCCAACTGAACAAAAGAAACTAATGGAAAAATAAATAAATAAAGAAATGATTTAGGAAAAACAAGAAAAATTATTTTTGAGAATTTTACTTAAAATTTAAATATAATAAAAAAAAATGGCCTTCAGTTCTTGTAGTTGGGTAGGAGTAGGTATGGCCCTGGATAGTTCCTCTGATGTTATTTATGTAGGTTATCCTGGGCAGATGGTAATCCGATGTTCTGGAATCTCCTACCACTTGGATGGAGCACAAGTAGAATAGGTAAGGGCCGGTAGTTGTAGAATAATGTTAATAAGTATTATTAACACACGTCTTGCCCCTTTATCTGGCGTCTATCCTGGAAGACCACGCCAGGAACAGAGCTGGTAAATAAGAGAAAATAAAACTGGTTACCCATAGTCATGATAATATAACATTTAAGAAAGAAAAAGAATGATAAATGCCAAAATCATTACTGGTAACCAGCAGACACTAGAAAAGAACAAACAGTAATACTCCTGGTAGATCACCCTACCTGATTAGGAGAAGAGTGGAGGTGAAGTGACTCTCCAAACTTCAATCCACACCAGGTAAGGTCAATATATATTTACCAGGAGTAGAAACTTTAACAAATCGGACACCAGGAACTAGTTTTGCCCCAGCCCGCCAGAGAGGGGGGGGTGTGTGCGCGCGCAACGTAACTCGCTAATGGTTCCTGGTTGCCCGAACAACCTTAACCCCACTTACACCTACTTTTCCCTCACAATACCCCCTTCCAAAACTTATGGACGGAGTCAATAAGTCCACGAACAGAGGGAAAAGAACTAAATACAACCTCGGCTCAGCCAATCTGAAAAGTGGTTTTCAGAGCCGGAAATATAAACGACTTTAAACTTATAGGGCTGAATAGCCAGAGCCCATCTCAAGAGTCTGCTATTTGACCCTTTAAAGTTTTCCAAGTACATCAGTGGCTTGTGATCTGTTTCAAGCACAAAGGGTTTACCGTATAGGTAGTATTTACATCTACTTATACCCCATACTAAAGCATAACATTCTTTCTCCACAGTGGAATATCTTTCTTCTCTGGGCAGAAGCTTCTTACTGGCGAAAGATACTGGGAAAGGTGTCTCCTCATAATATTGAAGTAGTACAGCCCCGAGTCCAGAATGGGAGGCATCTGTTCGGAGACAAAATATTTTATTAATATCTGGTAATTTTAGGACAGGGGGGTTTGAAAATATACTCTTAATTTTTTCGAAGCTTTGGTTAGCTTCCTCAGAACAACTAAGAGGTTCCTTGACACCCTTTTTCAAATAGTCTGTAAGAACTGAAGTTAAGCTACTTAGATTTGGTACGAAATTTCTATAGAAGTTTACAGATCCAAGGAAACTTCTTAATAACTTTTTGGTAGCTGGGAACGTACTTTCTAAAACAGCTTTGGTCTTATTAGGAAGTGGTGAAAAGTTGTTATCAGAGATAATGAACCCAAGGTATTGTACCTTATGATAGCCAAGAAAGCACTTTTGTGGTTTAACTGTAAGTCCATGAGTTCTTAGTCTTTTCAAAACAAGCGCTAATGTATTTAGATGGTCTTCCCAGACATTTGTCATGATATAAATATTATCAAAATACACTGATACATTCTTTAGATCAGAAAGAACTATTCTCATAAGCCTAATATACGTGGCACACGCGGTAACCAAGCCGAAAGGCATTGTGCGGTATTGCATTAGACCTCTATGAGTAGGGAAAGCAGTGTATGGTTTCGAGTCTGGGTGTAATGGCACTTGATGGTATGCTTGTGAGATGTCTAATTCCGAGAAGAATTTGCAGTCATGGAATTTATACAAGTCATGATCAATTACTGGCATGGGTTCTGCATCCCATTTAGTTATAGTATTTAAATAACGAAAATCTTGGGCAAGTCGGTAAGAATTATCGGGTTTCTTAACCATAACAACTGGTGAACAGAAAGCTGATTTCGAAGGTTCTATGATATTTAAGTTAAATAGTTTGTCAACCTCATTATCAAAAGTTTTCCGTAAGTGAACGGGAACAGGGTAGATTTTCCGCCTTACTGGTTCATGATCCGACAATTCAATCTTGTGTACAATAGTGGTGGTAAGTCCGGGTACCTCTGTGAATACGTCAGAAAATGTGTTTACTAAGGCACTTACTCGAGACTTTTGCCTATTCGACAAGTCGTTGTTAATGTTGACATTTGACTTCTTTGGTGAGGGATCATGCGTTAAGATGTCCAGTAGCTCCTTCGATTCTGTAAAAGACTCGTCATCTATAATACAAACTCTACATTCGTACGAATCACCACTTGTATCCAAGCCGAAAGAAGAAGTATCTTCGTCAAAGGAATTTACGCAAAGATTAACTTCTCTTCGATGGTACCGTTTCAAAATATTGACGTGATACATTCTTTCTCTACCCTTGACATCCAAGATATAATCTACCTTATTGCAGACCTTCACTACTTTATACGGTCCGCGCCATGTAATTAGCAATTTGTTGGATTTGTCAGGTAGGAGAACTAAAACTTCATCACCAACATTAAACGTACGCTTGGAGCTTTTATGGTCAAAATAGGTCTTGTACGTTTCCATAGACATCTCTAGGTTTTTACTGACCAAATCGGCGGTTTCTTCCAACCTTTCCCTTAGATCTAAAAGAAACTGATAGCTGTTTTGAACCTCAGGTTTGATATCTTTGGACCAAAGTTCATTCAAAATAGATAGTGGACCACGAGCTTGTCTCCCATAAAGCAATTCAAAAGGGGAATAACCAAGGGAATCACTTGGAATCTCGCGCATTGCGAAAAGGGCACATGGTAAAAATCTATGCCAGTCCGTTGGTTTAAGAATACATAGTTTTTTTAGTATTGACTTTAGGATGGCATGTTGTCGCTCCACTCTTCCGTTACACATCGGATGGTAAGGTGTAGTGAAAAGAGGTTTAACACCCACAAGTTGATAAACGTGTTCCATTAATTCTGAAGTGAATTGAGCCCCTTTATCCGACAGAATTTCACGAGGTATACCTACACGTGAAAAAATAGAAAATAAGGCTTCTGCGACTTCTATGGACGTAATGGATTTTAAGGGTACCGCCTCTGGGAAGCTGGACGCGTAGTCAATCATAGTTAAAATATATTTATGACCTCCTGATGAGCGAGGTGTGATAGGACCAACTATATCTACTGCAACCCTTGCAAAAGGGACTGAGAAAATAGGCATCTTTACCATAGGAACTCTCCTAGTTCTACCCTTCTGCGTGGAAAGTTGACATACGTGACATGATCTGCAGTACTTATAGATGTCAGAGGACATGCTAGGTCAGAAATATAGGTCCTTGATTTTATTATAGGTCTTCCTATGTGAAAAATGGCCAGAGACTGGCAAGTCATGAGAAATCTTTAAAATAGTTTCACGGCAATCCTGCGGAATGACTAACAGGCTTCGACCAACGTCATTGGGCTTGTCCGCAGACACTATAGTCTTGTACAAAAGATCGTGTTTGAACTCAAACTTGTAAGAAAATTTCTTTCTCTGGGTCACCTTGCCATTTAAAGCTAACTTCCGAGATTCCTCTAAGGAAGGACAAGTCTTTTGAAGACCCTCTAAATCTATATGAGACAGCTCGATTGGCTTTCCTTTCGAAAGAACTAATGGGTGGATAGGTTTTACCTTAGACTGAGCTCTGGTAAGGACGTTAATCGAGTCTAGTTGTTGTATAGATTGTGCCACCCGTAGTTTTCCACTGGTGTCTGCGTTGTCCAGGTCAAGTGACTGACTTACTAAAGGTGTTAACGGAGTTTTGTAACCATCAGCTCTCTGATTTAGGTTATCCAACTGAATCTCATCTGGAACTATCTGTGAAGAAACAGAGATATTAGGTTCCAACCTTTCCTTGGAAACTCCAAATTCCAAACAGTCCTTCTCAGATGGGAAAGCAGCCCCTTGTATGTTCCCAACCAAAACAGAACACGAGGTTATCGGGGCAACTACGGCATCTACCCATCCTGAGAACCATTTGCACCTAACAAAACATCTGACTGTTGGAAAAGAATCGCTTCTTCCTAAATAGTCAGTTAACTTAGTGGACTTATAACGTGAAGAATCTAGGTTAGGGAAGAGCTTACTTGAGATAACAATACAGGAACATCCAGTGTCTCTAAGAATGGTTGACACATTCATACCATTGACTGTACCTTCACTAAAAGGTGCGTTTATGTTTGATTCAGTGAAACATTTACCGACATTTTCACCTTTTTTTCTAGGACAGTCGGGCCTTCTATGACCCCACTCATTACAGTTGAAACACTTTACTGTGAAGGCCGTGGAATTCTTAGGTACGGAGGGTTTGGATCCCTCAGATTGCTTAGGCACAACAGGCTTATATCTGCTACGCTCTTTAGGGTAGTTATTATGAGCGCACGCATATATATCAGCAGCTTGTGCCATTTCTGCAGCCGTATGAACGTTTCGTTCTTTAATGAATATTCGTAAGTCAGAGTTTACAGAAGAAAGGAATTGATCTCTTACCATCAGGTCTCGTAAAGATTCGAAATCGTGGTCAACCTCAGCACTATCAATCCACGAATCAAATAATCTGAAAAGTGTTGTTAAGAATTGCATGTAATTTTGATGAGGAGTTATTTTAATGTGTCTAAACTCCGACCTGTAATGATGAGTAGTTTTTTTGAAAGCCTGGAGTATAGCTTTCTTCAGCAGGCTATAACTAGAAATAACATCAGAGGGTAGAGTGGAATAGACGTTTAGTGCTGAACCTGACAGTAGTAAGCCAAGCCTAGTAGCCCAAGAATCAACTGGCCAGTCACAGAGAGTAGCAGTACTCTCGAATCTAGTAATATATGCCGCTATGTCATCTTGTTCTGAGAAAGGTGGTATTTGAGGCATCCTAATATTAGGTTCTTGGGAAGGGTATTCCAGTACCCCTTCATCTATTTTCTGCTTAGATAGTTCTACCTTCTTGGCTTCTAATTCCAACCTTGATTGTTCTAACTCAATTTCCTTCATTTTGAAGGCTACCTCTCTTGCCTGAACTCTATCTTCTCTAGCTATCCTTTCCTGTTCGATTTTATCCTCCCGAGCTAGTCTTTCCTGTTCCTTTTTCTCTTCACGAGCTAGTCTTTTCTCCTCTCGAGCTAGTCTTTCCTGTTCCTTTTTCTCTCTTCAATAGCCATTTTAGCAGTAATGTAACTATCAAGGCTTTGTCCAGTAAATCCCATTTCCTTTCCAGCTTTCAACCAGAAATCTAAAGAATCCATCTTGTAAAAAGAAATATTAAGCACCCAACTTCAACTGACAATTAAAATTAATAGTAACGTCTGTTACAAAAGAGGGACAGTCCGCACACTTTAAACTTCCCAAAGTAGAAAATGAAATAAATATTTCTCCCTGGAAGAATACACTTGTGGGCTCAATAGCCTTCACTAAGCAAAATACACACGGTTCACACAGGAGGGGTTATTATCAAAGTTCCCCAGGTCCAACAAATAGGTAAACTTCTAAACCGAACCTTAGAACCAAACAACGGTAAGTCAACCAGACTACCAGTAATGACTTGACACCTCAACTAACTCACCCTTTTCTATCTTAAATGTTATACTCACAACCAGTTGAACCATCAGGACGATGTTGCTTCAAGAGTCGGATCCTGGCAAGGTCGCCATTGTCAGTGGAACGCCTTCCAACTGAACAAAAGAAACTAATGGAAAAATAAATAAATAAAGAAATGATTTAGGAAAAACAAGAAAAATGATTTTTGAGAATTTTACTTAAAATTTAAATATAATAAAAAAAATGGCCTTCAGTTCTTGTAGTTGGGTAGGAGTAGGTATGGCCCTGGATAGTTCCTCTGATGTTATTTATGTAGGTTATCCTGGGCAGATGGTAATCCGATGTTCTGGAATCTCCTACCACTTGGATGGAGCACAAGTAGAATAGGTAAGGGCCGGTAGTTGTAGAATAATGTTAATAAGTATTATTAACATACGTCTTGCCCCTTTATCTGGCGTCTATCCTGGAAGACCACGCCAGGAACAGAGCTGGTAAATAAGAGAAAATAAAACTGGTTACCCATAGTCATGATAATATAACATTTAAGAAAGAAAAAGAATGATAAATGCCAAAATCATTACTGGTAACCAGCAGACACTAGAAAAGAACAAACAGTAATACTCCTGGTAGATCACCCTACCTGATTAGAAGAAGAGTGGAGGTGAAGTGACTCTCCAAACTTCAATCCACACCAGGTAAGGTCAATATTACCAGGAGTAGAAACTTTAACAAATCGGACACCAGGAACTAGTTTTGCCCCAGCCCGCCAGAGAGGGGGGGGTGTGTGCGCGCGCAACGTAACTCGCTAATGGTTCCTGGTTGCCCGAACAACCTTAACCCCACTTACACCTACTTTTCCCTCACAGATTGCTGTGGATACTTCCAACCCATTTTCGGTGCTACCAGACGAATGTGGGTTGTCTACTGGGAACGTCACAACGAGCACCAAGGGAGCATTGGCAGACATGAGTGAGACATCCCTTGATACCCCAGTGAAGACCATCAAGAACGTCACGACAAATTCCACAAATGAAGGTATTAACATTATTTTAGTTGGAGACAATCAGATTAAGCTTATGGATAGCGCCTTTTGTCTTAGGGACAGGAAGAGGAGGCACAGGGTATGTTTTCCTGGGGCTGGGATGGGGGATATTGTTAGCCATCTGGACGACATCATGAAAGGTAATGGGAGCAATCCTATTATCTGCCTCAGTGAGGGAGGCAACGATGTTGGCAGACGTAGGAGTGAGGACCTGATTAGCAGGTATAGGTCAGCAACAGAGAAAATTAGGAAGAAGGGTGGGAACCCTGTCATATGTGGTATTCTGCCAAAGAGAGGAGTTGGAAATGAATGGTTGTCCAGGGCAATTGATGTCAATTGCTGGCAGGACAAATACTGTAAGGAAAATGCGGTAACATTCATTAACAATTGGGACCTCTTTTATGGCAGAAATGACATGTATGCAAGGGATGGGGTTCACTTATCTAGGTCTGGGGTGGGGGCACTTTCAACGGCAGTGGAGTGAGCTTTTAGGGCTTTAAACTAGGAACATATAGTGGTATGGGTTTTGGCGAGAATACAGTCAAGTCCCAGTGTAGCAATACACTGGGACTAGTAATAGGGGAATTAGTAATAGGCAGAATGAGGTGGATATTGGAAAGCCAATGGCACTAGGCGACAAGGACAGTAAAAGGTTTAGTGAAAAAACATATGAGCAGGAGGGGTAAAGAGAAAGGTGGGTCTTTAAAATTATATTATGCTAATAGCCGTAGTGTTAAGAATAAGTTAGATGAGTTGAGATTAGTAGCTAGTGCAGGTAACATTGATGTATTTGCAATCACTGAGACATGGTTTAATTCCAAAAGTCGGGACATGCCTTTGGAATGCAACATTTAGGGTTTTAAATTGTTCCAAGTAGATAGAAATATCGGTAAGGGAGGTGGAGTGGCACTGTATATCAGAGATCGCTTGAACTGTTGCATAAAAACGGGTATTAAGTCTGAGGTAACACATACAGAGTCTGGATAAAATTTTCAGAGGGGCATAAAAAACTGATTCTAGGAGTGATATACCGTCCCCCAAACTTAGATAGGGACCAAGGGAAATTACTGTGGGAGGAAATTGTTAAGGCTATAAGGCACGATAATGTTGTAATTCTAAGGGGACTTTAACTTTAGTCACATTGATTGGAATGGCTTAGAGAATACTTATCATCTGTTGACTGGGGTAACGAAGAGAGCTATCAATTTAACAGTTTTCTGAGCACCATACATGCTGCTCAAAGAACGTTTATCCCGTATAAAGAAATTGGATCGAATAGAAATGACCCAAAATGGATGAATAATAGGCTGAAATATCTACTAGGACATAAGAATGGAATTTATAGGCGTATCAAAAGAGGTGAGGGGAGGGACGTTAAAAAGGGGATAAGAAAAGCTGAAAGGGACTATGAAATTAAAGTTGCTAGGGATTCGAAAACTAACCCAAAAAGTTTTTTCCAGGTCTATAGAACAAAAGTTAGAGACAAGATAGGTCCCCTTAAAAATAACTATGGGCATCTTACTGACAAAAAGAATGAAATGTGCTCGATTTTAAATAGTTATTTTTTCTCGGTTTTTACACAGGAAGACACTAACAATATTCCAGTAATTAATATTTATAATGGGCCTAAAGAAGATAAATTATGTAACATCACAGTCAGTAGTGAAATGGTTATGAAACAAATAGACCGACTAGAGCAAAATAAGTCACTGGGTCCTGATGAGGTTTTTTCAAGGGTTCTTAAGGAATGCAAAATGGAACTCTGTGAACCATTAACTAATATTTTTAATTTATCTCTTCAAACAGGTGTAGTGTCTGATATGTGGAAGATGGCTAATGTAATTCCTATTTTTAAAGCAGGGGACAAGCCTGACCTCAATTGTAGGCAAATTACTAGAGCCAATTAAAGCTGATATTATAAGAAGCTATCTTGATAAGCATAGCTTGATTAATGATGCTCAGCATGGATTCACGAGAGGCCGGTCTTGTCTAACTAATTTATTAACTTTCTTCAGTAAAGCTTTCGAGGTTGTTGATCACGATAAAGAATTTGATATTATTTACTTAGATTTTAGTAAGGCTTTTGATAGAGTTCCGCACCAAAGACTGTTAAAGAAAGTGGAAGCTCATGGCATTGGGGGAAAAGTGCTCTCGTGGATCGAGTCATGGCTCACAGACAGGAAGCACTGAGTGTCCATAAATGGGGTTAAATCCGAGTGGGGATCTGTAACAAGTGGCGTTCCCCAGGGATCAGTCTTGGGCCCGTTGTTGTTTATAATATATATCAATGATCTTGATGAGGGAATTACTAGTGAAATGAGCAAATTCGCCGATGACACAAAGATAGGTAGGATAATTGATTCAAACGTAGATATCAGGGAACTTCAGGCGGATTTAGACAAACTCAATTCCTGAGCAGCAAAGAGGCAGATGCAGTTCAATGTAGATAAATGCAATGTTCTGAAGCTCGGGAGTGCCCATAACCCTAGCACTTATGAGTTAAATAATGTAGAACTTAGCCATACAGATTGTGAAAAGGGCTTGGGGGTTATGGTGAGCAGTAACCTTATACCAAGACAACAGTGCCTAAGTGTACGTAATAAGACAAATAGATTATTAGAATTTATATCAAGAAGTGTAAGTAACAGAAGTCCAGAGGTTATACTGCAGCTTTATACATCATTAGTAAGAACTCACCTAGATTATGCAGCTCAGTTCTGATCTCCATATTACAGAATGGACATAAATTCGTTAGAAAATATTCACCGTAGAATGACTAAATTAATACATAGCATTAGAAATCTTCCTTATGAAGAAAGATTGAAGACTCTTAAATTACATTCACTTGTTAGACGAAGAATGAGGGGAGACATGATCGAAGTGTATAAGTGGAAGATGGGTATTAATAATGAGGATATTAACAAGGTCTAGAGGATAACTCTCCAAGAGAGAACCCGCAGCAATGGGTTTAAATTAGACAAGTTTAGATTTAGAAAGGAAATAGGAAATTATTGTTTTGGATATAGGGTAGTTGATGAGTGGAACAGTCTACCTAGTTGGGTTATTGAGGCTAGGACTTTAGGTAGTTTCAAATTTGGGTTGGATAAAAATATGAGTGAGAGGGGTTGATTTGATTGGGACTTGCAAATGAGTGAATGGAGTTATCAGACCTTATTTCTTGGGTAGCATTGAATCCATGCTGAGTATCATTAATCAAGCTGTGCTTATCCAGATGGCTTCTTATATTATCAGCTATAACTGACTCTAGTAATTTGCCTACAGTTGAGGTTAGGCTTATTGGGCGGTAATTTGACGGTAACGACTTGTCCCCTGCTTTTAAAAATAGGAATTACATTAGCCATCTTCCACATATTAGACACTACACCTGTTTGAAGAGAAATATTAAAAATATTAGTCAATGGTTCACAAAGTTCCATTTTACACTCTTTAAGAACCCTTGAAAAAAGTTCATCAGGGCCCGGGGATTTATTTTTCTTTAACCGGTCTATTTGTTTGATAACCAATTCGGTAGTGACTTTGATATTGCATAATTTATCATCATCAGGCCCACTATAAAAATTAATTACAGGTATATTGTTAGTGTCTTCCTGAGTGAAAACAGAGCGAAAATAATTATTAAGAATAGAGCACATTTCATTCTCCTTTTCAGTGAGATGCCCAGAGTTATTTTTAAGGGGACCTATCTCATCTCTAACTTTTGTTCTATAAACCTGGAAAAAACTTTCTGGGTTAGTTCTCGAATCCCTAGCAACTTTAATTTCATATTCCCGTTTAGCTTTTCTTATCCCCGTTTTAACGTCCCTCTTAATGTCAATATACTGATTCATAAGATGACCCTCACCTCTTTTGATGCGCCTATAAATTCCTTTTTTCTGTCCTAAAAGATATCTGAGCCTGGTTTAGAAAGACACGTAAGCAAACACTATGACATATTTATTAGAAAACGTTTCGGTCCTGGGACCTTGATCACTTCTAACATACAGAACGAACGGACGGACGAACGAAAGTTCTGGTAAGATCCCAAATGGGATGAGCGGGGAAGACGGGACAGACGAAGAATAGTGCTGGAGAGGAGTGTTCTTAGTCGTAGAAATAGAGCCAGGGCTTAACCCAGCAGCGAAGGCGATCGTGGGACAGATATTGAAAAGAGAAATTCAGGCTCCTCTGTTGGGACTCCGGTTGGGTGAGCGGGGAGGAAGGGACATGCGACGTTCAGCGCTAGAGAGGAGTATAGAATTGAGCCATGTCTTAACCCTAAAGCTAAGGCGAAAGTGGGTCAGAGAAGGTACCTCTCGGATAATCCAAGGTTATTTGTAAATAGGGTTAGGAGCAGGATCATACAAGGAGTAGAAAAGGTTGTGTTGGTTTGTGGGTCTGCGAATGTCTTCATCAAGGAGAGAGGTCCAGTAGTCATTCGTGTCTTAAGTTTGTCTATCTGTCTGTCACTGAGCGTCTTCCAGTACAGATTCAGCGCAGGGATCTCTAATTGGGCATGGAGAGACACGCTTGTGGCGAAGTCCTCCCATCTGACATCAAGCACCCAGCGCAGCGCCTTGTTCTGGACACGCTGCAGTTTAAGTAAGTTCGTTTTTGCTGCAAGAGAGAGGGCTAGAGGAGAGTAAGTTATCAGAGGACGTATTAGGGATTTGTAGTGGTGTAGTTTGGTGCGTTGGGAGGCATGTTTCAGCTTGTAGAGGCCCGCAAGGGCCTTACTAGCTATTGCATGCCTTGAGTGAATGTGTCCGTGTAAACGAAGAAGGTAGTCAAGATTAACGCCAAGGACAGTGACAGATTGTGTGATGG